CCAAACTCTCGAAGAGATTTCCCGGGATGGATCAATCTTGGCTGACAGATAGAAAGACCTATGTCAAAGGAGGTTCTGCATGTATGCATGAAGAATAGAGGCACATAGGATGAAGAATGCAAGTCTAATGTGCTAATAACCGGTATGGAAATGAGATCTCATTTTTGACGAGGTATGGAAATGAGATCTCATTTTTTTGACGCTGGACCCTTGTGAACCCCTACCCCGAACATCATAGGCATGTGGATTGCATGTGACTAAGGGCAAGAATGCACGTGGATTGTGTGAGTTCTCCACCTTGTTTAATTATTTTAGGGTAAAACTAGGAAAAAAACCCTAAGTGACTCCGATTTTAATTAAACCTAGTTACTAGATTAAATTAACCCAATGTTTAAGGCATGGCGTGCAACCCGAGAATGGATCCCGAGACTATGTCATGCTGATGAACTAAACCATGAAATGAATGCTTTGCAAGGTGAATGATGTAAATTGGACAAAGAAAATTGTTTATGTGAATTTTGATGATTTCGACTTGGCCGCCCCGGGGGTGAAAAATCCCGAACCATGCCTAACGTACTTCCGTTTGAAATGGAAGAATCAAAGTCAACGTAGTTCGGATAGGCCTTGTTTTCAAAGGGCTTTGAAGGTGGTATGCTTATGCATGAGTGTTGTGTGTATTGCTTCGTGCAATGTTTGTGTTGCTTTCGGTGCATGTTTGTGTATGCTTTGTGCATGAGTGTGTGTATGCTTTGTGGCATGAGTGTGTGTATGTTTTTGTGGCATAAGGGCTTTGAAGGTGTATGCTTAATGCATGAGTGTGTATGCTTTGTGCATGAGTGTGTATGCTTTGTGCATGAGTGCGTATGCTTTGTGCATGAGTGCGTATGCTTTGTGCATAAGTGTGTATGCTTTGTGCATAAGTGCGTATGCTTTGTGCATTTTGTTTAGGTATTCTGCCAAAGATTGATTGATTTTTAGGCATGTTGCCAAAAATGTTGATTTTAATGGCTTTTAGCCAAAATGATTTTTGATTTAGGCAATTGTTGCCAAAAATGTTGATTTTAGGCGATTTTCGCCAAAATGGTTGATTTTAAGGCCTTTGGCCAAAATGAGTTGATTAAAATGTGTTGTTTTAGGCATTAGTTTAAACCAAATGTGCGATTTTTAGGCTTTAATGCCAACGATTATTAATTAATCGGGCCGTTTCGAGCTTTAATCATTAATTTATTGTCGAAACGTGATTTTGATTAAGGCTTTTAGCCACAATTAATTGGATTAATTGGCCTTAAGCCGGATTTTGTTTGGAAAAAATTAAGCATTAGCTATTGAAACGTAGTTTAATTAATTTAACTGGCTCTTTAGCCAAAAAATTGTCGGATTTAAGCTTATTACCATGATTAATTAATTAACCGGGCATTTAGCTTAAAAATTCATTTACTTTGAGGCAATTTGTTTGCCTAATGATGAATGGTGCATTTATGCAGTTGTTATAATTATTAGGAGTAGAAGAGAAGCATGCATGAAAGGTGCTAAAATTAATAGGCAGAGTTTTTTCGTTTACGTACCTTGATTTAATCAGAAACTCGCTTCCCTTAGGCTCCGATTAAAGCCCTCCCTCGCTTGGGAAAATATTAATTAATTTTAAAAATTTGTTTGATTTTTAGTGTGGCAAATATCCAAAAAATATAATAAAAATTGAATTTAAATGCAAAAAAGCGGTAAGAAAATCGCAAAGGAGCGTGGGAGGGAGAAAAGATCGTCCGTTCAACACAGACAATGGGTGGTCAAAAAATGGGGGGGAGAGGCCATTTTATGTGCCGCCGTGGCCGGCGGCAGGTGCCGCCTGTGCCGGTGGCAGGTGCCACGGTTACTTGGGCTTTTTTCACTCCAGAGGAGTTTTCGGGAGTTCCGGGTCTTCGAAAAATATTCCGGGACCTGTTCCGTGATTGTTGCGACATTCCGGACATTTTCAGTTCCATATTGGCATATTTTCGGTGATTTTTCGAAATGGCCTTTGGTCCGGTCGGACTGTTTACAGTCCGACAAAACTGGCTCTTTGAGCCATGTAATTGGCATGGCACTGTAGCAGGCCAGACTGTTTACAGTCCGAGAAAACTGGCTTTTGAGCCTCAAAATTTGAGTATTCACAACAGGCAGCAGATTTTTGATGATTATGTCTACCTGTTCTTGTTCTGAAGGCCGATTGATCATTTGGGCGGCCTTGGCCCTCCACCTCATGCAAAATTTTGAGGAATGGGCAGAGGGGAAAACCCCGCCAGTTTTTTTTTTTTTTTTTTTTTTTTTGTCTGAACTCCTGTTACAAAACTTTGACTATGCTTCTCACTGTACCTTCTGTACTGAATTTTATTTGTACCTGCAACTTGGTTAGTACTGAAAATATGTATGCATGTTTATTGTATTTGAAATAAAATGGGACTTTCATCATTTCAGCTTATGGGCAAAATTTTTTTTTTTTTTTTTTTGTGGCCCACCGTTGGCGGCTGCTGGCCGCATCATTCGGCGGTAATTCGCGGCTTTTGCTGCCGGGCCCTCATTCGGTTTGCATTTTCTCTAAATAAAAAACTGGTTCTTTGTTTTTTGGTTTTTTTCACTCATTCTTTTTCTCTTCTCTTCTTCTTTTCTTTTTTCAAAGAATGATCCTTCTTTTATCACAAGCATGCACAGCCTGGACTAGGAGTCCCTCTCCAAAGTCGAAAAAGATCAACTTGGGGAGGTACGGTCTCTCTTCCTATCATTACCCTTAGGGGGGGTTGAGTAAAAAGTTGACTGGAACTTTTTAATGGGCCTGCATCAGACTCTGGGACCCTGAAGGCCCAACGTTTTTCGGTTCGGGGTCCATGATGGAGGAGATGTGGCCCTCTTTTTTTGAGGAATTCTGTGCTATCATAGGGGTGTGTGGACGTAAATGCCCTTTTTGGTCAAGCCATGAGGGTCAAAAATCCGGGTATGTTCGGTCGTTTTGAAAACTTGTTTCAAGTTCAGCCGACCACAAGCTAAGGCCCATGAATAGTTGGGTGATCAAAGAAGCAATTTTGCTCAGAAAGCAATTTTGCTGCCCCTGATTGATGAGTTTTCAGAGGTCCATTCAGACAACCCTGATCAGATGAGGCTGAGAATGCAGGCCTTGGTTTTCTGTTTATTAGCTGGTTTCTTGTTCAACAAGGACCCAGGCTTCGGGGATTTGCAATTTTGTCCCATGGTTCGGCAGATGGAGGATATGGGTTGCATTGGTGGCATTGTGCTGGCAGAAACTATCAGAAGTCTTGATAAAGCTGCTTTAGGCTTCGAGGACTGGACGGTTTCCCCGATCATTCTCCAGGTACTTCTCCTTTCCCCCCCTTTTTTTTTTTTTTTTTTTTTTTTTGGTCTGTCCCTTTGTAACAGAAAGGATCTATACTCAGGTTTGTTAAAGGATCACCCTCCAAGTGGTTGCTGTTCTACTTTAACGTGCCTTATAACCCTGTCCAGTATCCGCATGCGGAAGTATCGCATGCGGAGGATCTTGATCACACATCCGTCCACTGATGCATGGACCTCATGGCTAATTGAATTGGGTCCAAATGAGGTGCTGTGGTTCGTACCTTGGTATGGCATTACCCGCTTTATCCAGTTTAGCTCTCGCCACACTCAGGTTTACCTTCTAGGCCTTACCCATTGTACTTGGTACTGTGATTCGCGCGTTATGAGGCGGATGGGAATAGATCAGACTGTACCGATCATGGATGACTCGTTATATGATTCAACCATCACTCCGGGAGTTACCCGTGCTGTCCTTAGAGCTTGGGTTAGGGACCATCAGATGGTTAGGCCTTTACCTAATCCTGCTGGCTAATCCTTGCTGGGTGTTCAGACTTCTCCTGATAATCGGTCTGGTTCATGACCGTTGTCTGGCCAGTTTTTGAAGAAGCTAAGGAGGAGCGCATTGGCTGAGTGGCACTGGCGGTGATGGGGATAAGGATGATGAAGGAGATCCATGTTTTGGCTCCCTCGGACAGACGAGGCGGAGGGAGTTCAAGCAACTGGGGATGACTCGAGGACGTTGCCCCACGGAGGCGACGGGCGGGGTACCTAGACTCTGATAGGCTTTTGGACTCTTGGTGTTTTGGCTTTGTTTTAGCTCTTTTGACTTTTTGTTGGGGACTTTGGCTTTGGATTTTTGGGTGTTATTTGGAATTTTGGCTTTAGATTTTTGGATGTATGTCCTTTTGGACTTCGACTTCATTATTTATTTTTCTTGGTTTCTTCGGTTTTCTGCTGAACTTTGAACTGTTTGACTTTATTGCTTTTAATTGGGCACGTTTAATTGAGAATGTGATTTGTCTTTTAAGCTTTCCAAGCATTTTCCAACTTTACTTATTCAAGCTCTAATTTTTGCCTAAGCCGCCCTTTCGGGTTTTCAACTAGCGAGCTACCCATTTTTGCCTAAGCCGCCCTTTTAGGGTTTTCAGCTTAGCGGGCCCTGACTTTTGCCTAAGCCGCCCTTTTCGGGTTTTCGACTTAGCGGGTTTTTCTCTTTTTTTTCACTTCTTTTTCTCCTTTTTTTTATTATTGTTGGCAAAGAAGCAAGAATTATGGAATGATTTTTTTTATTAATGTTAAGACCGTGCCCAATGAGGGCTGCCTACATATCTCCGATACATAATTTCTTTTTTCCGAAGAGAATCAGGTCTAGTGTAGTTCATTTTTTACATTATGCAATGCTTATTATACAAAATATCTTTTTAATTGATCTAAATTACATGGATTTGTAAACTCCAAACCATCTAAATCAATCAGTCAAGATGACGGCTCGCCGCGGACAATATTTTTCTTTCAACACATTAGGGGTCCAGCCCCAATTGAGGGGACGAAATCTTCCCACGTCGGGTTTATGATTGGACTTGTCTAATCTCCTTCAGGACCAAAAACAACTTCTTTCTAATCTCTTTCAGGACCAAACAACCTTCTTCCAGTTTCCGGTCTTTGACTTTCTTATTAAAATGCCGTGCCATTCTTCTCTGGTAGACTTGAGTATGGTGGATTGCTTGCAGTCGCTTTTCGTCCATACTCAAGAGCTGCAGGTGATAATTCTTAGCCCAGTTTGCTTCGCTAATCTGGCTTTCCTGAAAAATCCTTGCCGACTGAACTTCCAGCTCAATAGGCCACACTGCTTCCATGCCATATATCAAAGAATACGAAGTTGCTCCGGTGGGTGTTCTAATTGAAGTTCTATATCCCCATAGGGCATTCGGTAACTGTTCGTGCCAAGCTTTATGCTTTTTAACTGTTTTCTGCAAAATGACTTTTATAGCCTTATTTGCTGCCTCTACAGCCCCGTTTGTTTGTGGACGATAGGGTGAGGACTTATGATGTTGAATTCTCGTTTCTTTCAACAAATTAGAAAATTCACTCTGAAAGTGAACCTGGGCTTTATGGCGCAGTGCTGCCCGCCCGCGGTGGAGGGCGGCAGGCTGCCGCCCTGTCGGTGCGGCGGCAAGGCCCCGCCCACGATGGGCGGGGGGGTGCCGCCTGGGCGAGAGGCCCTGCAGCTGCCCCCAGTATCAGGTGGGGCGCAGGGCCTCTCCTGGTTGAGGCGGCAAAGGTGTCGCCCAAAGTGGGCGAGCAGATTTGCCGCCAGGGGCAGTGGGGGGCCAGGCCCGCCTTTTGCCGCTGTGCGACAGGCCCACGCTCGCGCGCTGCGGCGGCACGCCTCGCCCGCGATGGGCGACAGGCCCGCTACGCGCGCGGCAGGGCCCCGGTGCACCGCGGGGGCGGACAGGCCTCCGCCCCCGCGGCGCTAGTGGGCAGGGCCTCGCCCGCGCAGGGGCTGACAGGCCCCGCATCGCGCTGTGCCGGCCGGGGCAGCCTCTGCCCGCGCGGGGCGGCAGGCCTCCGCCCGCGCGGGCAGGCAGCCCTCGGCCCGCGCTGCGGCAGGCAGGCCTTTGCCCAGGAAGTGGGCGGCGGCATGCGCCCAGGCTGGCGGCTGGCGCCCTGCCGCCGTGCCGGTGGCCGATGTTGACACCGCGCCTCGCTCGGGGGCCTTTTTGGAGAGTTCCGGCACCTTCCGAAAAAAACTCTTCCAGGGACCTGATTCCGGGATCCTCGCGATATTACCGCGACGTTTTTAAGTACCAATTGACATATTTTCGGTGAACTTCCGAAATAGCCTACCGGTCCGGCCGGACTGTTTGCAGCCGGGAGAAAAACAGGGGCTTTCTGAGCCTCAAAATTTTGGGTATTCACAGGAAAGTATCAATAAACAATCAAACTGAGAGCAATTTAAACAGTATAATGGAGACTAAAATTCGTAAATGACATTTTTCAATTTTATGAGTCTTAACTTCTTAAAAAATAAGGAATTAAAACTTTTAATTCTGGTATGAGGTTTCTTCTTCAAAGCCTCCGGTCCGGCCGGACTGTTTGCAGTCCGGGAAAACAGGCTTTCTGAGCCTCAAAATTTGGGTATTCACAGAAGTATCAATAAAAATCAAACCGAGAATTTAAGTATTGGAGCTAAAATTGTAATGAATTTTCAATTTTGAGTCTAACTTCTAAAAAATAAGGAATTAAACTTTTAATTCTGGTATGAGTTTCTCTCAAGAATTGAATTGAATCAGAACTGCACAATCCTAATAAACAAGTTCCTTAAATTCGATATTTAGTTGATTTGATTTAAATTAAAGCGAGTAATTATAAATTGAAATTAAACTAAACTTAGTAATTTCAATTCGTTTTTTTTTATTTTAATTTACTTTATAACTTAAATCAATATGATTTTAAGTTTTCCAAAACCAAATAAAACGAAATTTCAGTTTTTTTAATTAAAATCATTAACAAAATAATTTTTTAAAATCAAATTGAACCGAGAATATTAATTGATTTGTATCGGTTGGATTTATTTACATAATATTATCATCCAGCTCTAGGTCCTATAATATGTTGGCAATATCGAAAGCTGGTCATTAATTAGGTCTTCCTTTAAGTTAGCAAATTCTCCATTGAGCCCAATCCCAACATAGGAATAAAGTTCCAAGAAAAGTTCCTAAACTGCCCCCAATCACCAAAAAACATCCAACGTGCTTTTGTCCAATTTGAGTGTCACCAAAAACGAACCCACAAAGCCCAAAATCCCATACAGTCTTCATTTACTTTTCTTTTTATTAATTGAAAAGCTCATTTGGTTTCGGATTGTCCAAAAGGATACTGCATACATACTTATATGTGTTTTTGTGTTAGTAAAAATTAAATAAATGAAAACGACAATTTTATTTTCCGCCAATATTTTTTATATCTTTTTAGAAGTATAAAATTAATTTTAATTTCAGAATTCGTAACTGCTATTTTTATATTTTTTTTCTCAAACTTAAACCTTGGGCCTCACAGATATTATCTGCCAAACAAAATTAATTCACATACTACTTGAATCTCTTTTTATGAGTAAACGAAAATAAGAAATATTTATTTTAAATATTTTAAACTAATAAATAATATAATATAAACTAATAAAGTGAGTGGAAATAATAAATAAACTGTTTAAGCATTTTTATTTTAAATATAATATAAGAAACCACAACTCAAGTTTTATTGTCGATGTTCTTAGATATGAAGCTAGTCTAATTCTCAAATAGGAAATTTTAATCTTTACTTTGAACACGTGAAGCCATGAGAGTCACTCAGTTAATTTGAATGTTTACAGGAAAATGAAAAGAAAAGCAAAAGCATATTGTTAAAGCAAAGTATATGATATGAAAGCAAAGCATCTATAAACTACTTCCCTTCTCTCTCTTTCCTTCTTCAGCTTTCAGCATTTTCGAGGGTACAACACTCTTTGATGTCATTGTTGTCCCCAACCCCTTCTGACAGTAAACTGTATTACTGCGTCCTCTTCCATGCCACAAGAAAACACCGTTTCTTTCACCATTTTTCCTTATATAAAATCCAGAGTCTTTTTGTTTCCAAATGCATGGGTTAGTTCTACTCACTCAGAAGAGATTTACATAATTTTATTTTTACTTTCATTTATATCTCTCTTCATTTAACATTTAAAGCAGCCAACTACTCTATCTGAAAGCCTGCAATAAATGAGCGCAATGGTATTATTGTCTTAGAAGGCTTGGTTCTGGTAGCTCATTTACACTTTAGTTAATAAGATTGTTGTTTTATTCTCTGCTACTCATGGGGAAGGTTGGAGGAAGCTCTTGGTTGGCAGCTGTTAAAAGGGCTTTCAGGTCTCCTGCAAAGGATAATAACAAGAAAACCAGTAGAAGGAGAGAAGATCATGATCAAGAAGATGAGGAAAAGGTTCAACTTTTTTTTTTTTTTAAATTTAATATATTTTATTTCAAACCTGAGTTCTCTAAAATTTGTTTCTTGGTTCTGTGCAGAAAAGAGGAAAAAGAAGATGGATTTTCAGGAAACCTTCAATGCAGGAAACAGTTATACAACATTCTGCGGAAAAGATTATAACAACTAGCTCCTCTAATCCTACCGTTACAGCTACAGCTATTACTGAAGCTACTGATGCTAAACAAAGACACGCACTTGCAGTGGCCATGGCCACAACAGCAGCTGCTCAGGCAGCAGTTGCAACAGCACAAGCAGCTGTCGAAGTAGCTAGGCTTACTAGGCCTACCCTCTTCGCTAAGAAGCATTTTGCTGCCATTGCTATACAAACAGCTTTTAGAGGATATCTGGTAATTGCATTTGCCATCTTTAAACATTGTTGTTTTGGTTTTATTTAGGTATTCCCTTGGCTTCATACGTCCCTTTAAATTTTTTAGTATTTGGTTGTATATATTGTTGAAGGCAAGAAGAGCTCTTCGGGCACTAAAGGGATTGGTAAAGCTGCAAGCTTTAGTGAGAGGACACAATGTAAGAAAGAGAGCAAAGATGACTCTTCACTGCATGCAGGCTTTAATGAGAGTGCAAGCACGAGTAAGAGATCAAAGAAAGAGGCTTTCTTATGAAGGAAGCACAAATTCGACTCTAAGTGATCCAAATAGCTTATGGGGATCACATTTTGCTGATAGAAAATCTATAGTAAGAAAATTCCCCTTTGTTATACATATATGTATAGATATGCTAATTTAGCTTAATTAAAATGGGTTTTGTAAATTAAAAAATATAATGCAGCCTAGAGATGAGAATAACACAACTGATGAATGGGTACATTGGGATGAGAACCCACAGTCATTAGAGGAAATCCAAGTACTGTTGCAGGAAACCAAAGAAGAAGAAGAAGAAGTTGCCTTGAAACGTGAGAAGGCCCTTGCTCATGCTTTCTCTCACCAGGTTTTATCACTTTCCTTTCACCTACATTTCATCTACCCCATGTTTTTACTCTTAATTAATTATCTTTTGCTCTCATGATACCTAATACTTTGGTTTTGTTCTGAAATATATTTTTTTCAATCCAGTTTTATAATATGGCAAGAAATTTGAATGTTTCTCCAATCTGATCTTTTTTTTTTTTTTTTCTGTTTTAGGTTTACATCTCATCTTTGATAATAATTTCATTGGAAAATGCTAAAAATACTCTAATTATAATGGTATTAAAGTACTAGTAATGGAATATAAGTTTTATCTCTAGGAAACCCATTTCTATGGGTTGAGATGATTAAACTTTTTGGTTATATTAAAAAAAAAAAATAATAGTGAAAGAGGTCTAGTTTGAATGGCATTTTTTTTGGGGTTTTTTTTTTTCCAAAAATAAAGAAAGAAAATCTCCTATTACAACGAACGGATAAAATTGCAATTCATAATTTATCGCAAAATTTTATTATGCTCACAAATATTGATTTGTTACAACTAAGTCACTTAATTAATAATTACAATTTGATTTCTTAAGGTTTTTTTTTTTTTTTTCTCAATCAACCTACTTTAGTGGATGCAGATTATATGCACAAAAACGTTGAGAGATCGCTAATTGTAATTGTGCTCTCCAATGCTAAAATATGATAGAAAGGCTCTAAGCATTGACAGATTGAAATCTTTAACTTTTTCATAACAATAGAAGTTCAATATAATTTACCCTATTTTTATATATTTTGCTTCAAATTCTTGCATGGGTTTTGCTAAAAGATATGGATGCCAAGTAGAGACACATATGCCAGTGAAGGAGAGTTAGAAGAGAAACCCAGATGGGATGATCAATGGACAAGAAGGAAGCAATTGGAGAATAGAGGAAGAACCTTATGCGATGAAAGAGAATCTATTATCAAAACTGTTGAAGTAGACACTTACTCAACTCCATACACTCACAAACCCCATTACCATCATCTTTATCAACAACAAAGGCCTAGTTCATTTTCTGCTACCTCTCCTCTTCTTAGACACCAAAACAATATAACACCATCTCCATCTAAAGCAACACCACAACTCCAAGTCCATTCAGCTAGCCCTAGGTATCTAAGAGAAGACAGGAACAATGTAAGCAAAACAGGAAATGGAATTGCTACTTCAATGCCCAACTACATGGCCGCAACTGCTTCTGCTAAGGCTCGGCTGCGGTCGCAGAGTGCCCCAAGGCAAAGGGCTTCAACACCAGAGAGGGAAAAGATAGGTCCAACTGCCAAAAAACGTCTATCTTTCCCTAATCCAGTAACAAGCAATAGCAGCAGTAGTAATAACAATATTGTGGATAGGTTGAAAAGCCCGAGGTATAAGCAGGGGATTCATGAAGCATATCTTGGAATGGAGCATAGGTCTACTGTGTCTTCTTGCTATACAGAGAGTAGTATTGGTGACGAAGCTTCTCCTCCTTCAACTAATGAGCTTAATAGATGGTTAAGATAAATTAAGAAAATATAAAGGTATGTTTGGGGTAAACTCGTAATTTTCATCTGGAGTTGTCAGGAGGATTTTTTTTTTTATTATTTTTATTTTTTATACGAAGGGCAGCAGAGCTGAAAAAAAAAGCTGAACTTAACAGCAGCGAATGTATGATGTTTATGTTCATTGACTCTTTTTTTTTTTTTTTTTTTTTTAAGAAAATTATTAAAGGGTATGTATGCGGGTTAAACTACGATAATTTTTCATCTCGGAGTTGTCAGGAGGATTTTTTTTTTATTATTTTTAATTTTTTATACGAAGGGCAGCAGAGCTGAAAAAAAAAGACTGTGAACTTAACAGCAGCGAATGTATGCATGTTTATGTTTCATTGGACTCTTTTTTTTTTTTTTTTTTTTTTTTTTTTTTTTTTTTTTTTTTATACGAAGGGCAGCAGAGCTGAAAAAAAAAGCTGAACTTAACAGCAGCGAATGTATGATGTTTATGTTCATTGACTCATATTATAATATTTAAAACAAAGCTGAACTAAACAGCAGTGAATGCGAATCTTTTTTTTTTTTTTTCTAAAATAAATTTTCATGAAGGTATGATAAGTGGCTAAGATCTTTCAAAGTCCTCATGAGAATTAAAAAATAAAAAATAAAAAGTCTCATAATCAAGGACAAGTATTATATCTATTAAATTTGTCTAAGTTATAACAAATTATTAAGTAAATTGACTATATTACTTTTAATTTAATACTAATTTTTTAAAAAAATCATTAAATTGAAATAATAATCATTGGTCATATATAAAGGATAAACATGGAAAAAAAATATTTATTACTACTTGAACCACAAATGTAACAAGTACTTTGAAACAAACTATTTTCTCAAATGTAATCAGTATTATGTAACGGAGATAATATTTGATTTGACATTTAAATATCTCTATTTATTCCCATAAAATAACTTGCAACAGAAAAGTGAAAAATAAGTTCTTTAGAAAATGAAAATATTTTCTCATTTTCCGAAAACAAATGGAGCCTAAATATTAAATTTATTTCAAAATTAAACTTTGGACCAATTTAGAACATAAACTTTCAATTTAGGCAATATGCCTTTTTTCATGTAAAACATCAATTAAAAATTTTCTTGCCTTTAAAATATTTTAAAATAAAAAAGTTTTTGAAAATTCAAAAAAAAAAAAAGGTAGAAAACCCAATTTTTTGTCGTAAAAAATGGAAGAGAAAATGAGAATGAAAACCAAATTTTTTGTGTTTTTATATTATTTTAATATTTCATATAAATCAATATTTTTAATGTTTTTTACCAAAAAAAAAAAAAAAAAAAAAAATAAAAATTTATTGAAAAAGTTCGAGAAACAATCATAAACATAATACAAAAAATAGGTCTAGACACACCCTAACATTTTTTGTTGTTCCGCACAAAATAGATAGAGAATTTTATTGAGAACCACTATGAAGCACAGAAAATGAATCATTATTTTGCGAGAGAGTATATCTATAGATACTGAGATTTTATTCTATCAAATTTTACTTAATTACATAATACACAATCAAAACTATTATTCATCCTATTAATTTAAGTCATATTATCACCACACCAAAAAAAAAAAAATATAAAGTGATTAGAATCTTCTAATTAATTCATTTTTCCAATAGGAGGTATTTTGTGCATCGTTCATCAGAGAGATGATGGGTGGAATATGAATGAAATTATTATAATATCCCGTGAAATTCACACATTACACAACAATATACTGAGCATATTCGTAATTAAAAAAAAAAAAAAAAAAAAACAGTATTGATCTTATAATTCTATGTTTCGGATTGATGTACAAATTGATTAATTTTATATCGAATTCATATACTTATCTAATAACTAAATCCACAGCAGTCTTTCACAGCTCACAAGCTTTCACTTCCATTCCATTTTCATTATTGGTCTTGAAAGACCTTAAAAAGAAACGAAAAAAAAGTACTTCATTAATTATTGGTTTGACAGTAACATGTCATAAAAATATTCATCTATAAATTATCCTGTTTTCACAAATTTCTAATCAAAAGAGCAACTTACTGAAACACGGTCTAAAAATTGGATATTAATACCAGAAACACGGCTGAGAAAAAATTGTATTGATAATTAAGTGTCTATAAACACTGCATAATTCATCTTCTACATGTTACTTAAAAAACCTTATGACATCTTTAGCTTTTATGTTGATCTATTAAATGCTTCTAACTTATAAAATTGTACTTATTAAATACTTTAATTTGCAAAAATTATTCTATTGAATATTTAAACTTATAAAATTAGATCGATTAAATACTTATTTAATAGTTGAAAAATATGAAAGTTATTATACTAACAACATATATCAAGTGAATATTCGACATATAAATGCTAAAAACACCAAAAAAAAAATTATTATTGCAAGTACGGAGAAGGTAAAGTGTTACAAAAATTTGTAATTTCAAGATATAATAAGTCTCTCTTGAGTTTGGAATGTGATAAGATTTTTTTGGTACAGGGTAAATGTATGCATTTGGCAACATTTTTATTATGGATTTTCTTGATGAATTATAGATGTTTACATAATTATTTTCAAATCCAACTACCAAAATGAATTGAAAGTATAAATATGCATGACTTCCACTCTGATTAATTAAAATCAATCCAGTTTCAGCCATTTTAGTACAAATAAAAACTTGAAATTGATCAAAACTGCATTAAAATCAAACTTAAACTTAGATCAATCTGGGACCGATTCTAATTCCTAATCTTACAGGATGGAATCGAGCGGCTATTGAATCGGAACCGATCGTCACGCGCGAACTGCGGCTGCCCTTATATGAGAATAGAATGGATTTTTTTTGACCTTTTTGATGGGACCACCGGTTGGCCTATCCCCTATCCAATCCTAAACAATAGCTTGTAATTACAACGATCAATCTTGTCCACATGCCTGTTAAATACATTATCAATAGTTTTAGATAATCTCCGGTTGGTTTGATTCAAATTAAATAAAATTAGTATAAATTAAATAAGCTAAAATTTTTGTATTTAAAAGAATTTAAATTTGTTCGATTAATTTGGGAAATTAATATTCGCTCCACAAGTATGCAGGTCGTACAAGTAGTAAAAAGATTATCGTCTCACACAAATTGGGAAAATAGGCTATTAATTTTCTATGTTTGACAATTATTAGAAAGACCGGATAGAATGAAAATGATTTAACTAAATTGCAAATTAAATTAAATAAATTTGAAAATGATTTAACTTAAATTGCAAATTAATATTATAAATAAATTCAAATTAAAATTCATCAAGTGAGACTATGAATTCAAACAGTAAACTTCAAGTAAATAATGTTGAGATAATCTCAGCTATTGGGTATCTCTATTAATTCTTAAGTGACAAAACTTATGACTAGTGATTTATAGTGTCCAAAATTCCCTCGCGCGGTCAGAAATCTTCAATGACCGTCAAAACTACATGACATCCTACCTTCGTTAGCTTTAACATGGTTAAAAAATGTTTTAGTGCCCAATCTCCTTGACAGGAGTAACTAACCTACGGGTTTCCGCAGATTCCTGCTTCTGAGTTTTAAAAATGAAATGGGTCTAAATCAATCGACATCTCAGGATCTCTATTAATTCTTAGTGCAAACTATGACTAGTTGATTTATAGTGTCCAAATTCCTCGCTCGAATCTCAATGGACCGTCAAAACCACATGACATCTACCTTCGTAGCTTAACATGGTTAAAATGTTTTATGCCAATTCCTGAAGGAGAACTAACCTAGGGTTTCCAGATTCCTCTCTGAGTTTAAATGAAATGTTAAAATCATGCGACATCTACTTTCATAGCTTAACACAATTAGAACTCATTAGGCCGCTGTTAATTCTTTTGCCCTCAGAAAACTTAGTCTATCTCTAAGTCTAAAAATTCTATGTTTAATATGCGGGATCCAATCTAGTTTGTCACCCTATCGGTTTTGTTCAATCAGATCTAAAATCATGCAAATATGGGCCCAACACATTTACAGGCATTAAGCTCCAACATATTAAATAATGAATTTAAGCATTTAACACAAATCAAACTATTCAAAGTTGCATTTTTAAATTAATAGATAAATCCCATAACTAGATCCAAATATTTAGCCTAGCATTATTATATATATCAATACAAATAAAATATGCAAAAGGAATAAAAAGCATAAATAACAAACTTGGGGGTATTTGTGGGTTGACCAAGGTGCTCACGTCCCAAGTTCGTCAAAATCCTTGCTCTTTCTCCCTTTGTGTTGTAGTAACACTAGTGCTTAAAGCTATTGACTCTCTCTCCTATTTTTGCTGAAATTCTTTTGAGTGGCTACTTCTTGTTGTCTTACATGGCAACAAGTGCCCAAAGAGAGTGTCCAACCCCTACAACTCCTTTCTTTGCTCCTTATGTAGATCTTTTGCTTAGCTACCATTGGTCCACATCACACACCACTTGCACAAGTTGCATTTGAAAAGCTGTCTCCACCACCCAGCTTGTGGAAAGAAATGTTAAAATAATTAAGAGAAGCTGCATCCAATAACCAGGTGCAATGCTTATTCAAAAACGCTACAGTTTTGGTCTAAGTGATATGTCACAAGATCATTTCAAAAGGTTATTTTTGCCTTAGTGCAGGTTCTTCCACGTTGATCAATTCTCCTTCTTTCTTTCTTCTTGGGCTGGTTAGGGGTTGGACCTTGGGTTCTTTTCGCTTTCTAGGAGCATTACTTGGACTTCAATATCAGTAAGGCTTCAAATGCCTTCTTTGATTTGATTCGGTGCCAAATGGATCATTTTTTATCCATTTTTGCTTAAAGTAGTAAATATTGATGTAGCTCATGTGCAAATCAAATAAAGAGAGAAAACCGTGCAAAATGGAGTTTATTCTTATTTTACTATTCAAAATAAAGCTAAATTCAATTAACACAAATTATAAAATATATGTATTTTGTTGTTACCAAAATCTCCCATACTTGAACTGTTGCTTGTCCCCAAGCAATGCAAAATGTCTTTCATGTAATGAATGAAACACTTCAGCTCAATTCGCACTCTCATATGAAATTCAAGGTAAACTTTAATTATGAGATTAATCAATCCTAAAGCTCTATCATGCTCAAAGGAGTATTCGACACACTCGTCCCTTCCAACAAGTT